CGCTGCTGGCGGTTCCTGGAGCCAACGGCCACGTGGAACCGGCGTGTCTCATCCCTGACTTCTGGGAGCTCTTCTCAGCATCTGCATGCAGCCACGTGCTTTTCTGAAGCCCTGGCGATCTCAGAAATACCTGAAGGCTTAATGTGGTCGTGTTCAACCCTAAACAGCTGCTGATTTTGTGTAAAACCCTTATAGGCCCATAGAAATGTTTCCCTAGCTTAGAAATTAGAGCCCTTCTTGCACAGTTTTAGAAACAAAAGTATGCTGGCAGCGTTCAAACCTGACGCTGCCTGTGTGCAGAGCAGTCAAACTGAAACGGCCCAGCTGAGCAAGGGCGCTGGCGGGCACAGAACGGGCGCAGCTCTGCTGTCTGCAGCCACCTCCACGGTCACCCTGGGGCTGCTACGCACCGGCTGCCTGCCCTGCGCTGGGGCCGGGAAGGTGGAGCAGAGCGTCCCAGCTGGTGGATGTGCCGTGAGCTTTCTGCTTGGCAAGCGCTCAGGTGCCCTTTTCTTCGCAGGCAGGGCCAGGAGATGGTGATGAACACGGCTGCCGGCCACCTCCTGCGGACGAAGGCCATCGAGCACGCGGACGGCGGGGTCGCGGCTGGCGTGGCCGTGCTCGACACCCCTTACCTGGTGTGAGCGGCGACGCCCCATCCCGCCCGCCTCCCTCTGCTGCCGGAGAGCTCGTCTGCCGGGGGGGGGTTCTCCTTGGGGACTGTGAGGAGGGACGGCGTGGACACAACTGCTCAAAGGTCCTGCGTGCCGGCCCCAGCTTCTCTGCAGTTCCTCCTGTGAGAAGAAGGGATCCCCCTGCACGTCCCAGCTGTGACCTCCCGGGACTGCGTGGGTCGGGGTGTTCCCTTGGGGTCTAGCCTGGGGGCAGGGGTATGCATGGCAAAGCTGAAGGGGGAATGAGCTGTTCCCAGTTCCGTGCATCTTGATGCCGCATTGTTTCTGGAGACACACACAAACCCAAAGCCTGGGCAAGGGGAGGAGAAAGGGGGATGTACAAGTACCAGCCTTCAGCTGCGGTGTTTGGGACCCAGTGCTGGTGCTTTCCTGCTTAAATGGCTCCCCATGGCCCCTCCAGCCCTTGCCTCGGTGCTGCTGCTGCCCTGGTTTCTACTTTCCCTGTGCCCTGGGGTAATTCACCCTTTTGCTTGGCCCAGCTCCTGTCTCGGGGGACTGCGCTGCACAAGGCAGGGCCTGCCCTCCCCCAGGAAAGGCTGCATCCGCTCCCACCGCCTCCTGCAGCTGTGCCCAGCGCGTCCCG